CTGAGCACTTGCCCTGTGCCGGGTGAAATGGTGCGTGGGTCCCGCTCTCAGTGGGTCCCAGTCTGGTAGAGGAGCTCATGGTTGTAGACCAAACTCTCAGAACTGCCATTCTTCAACTACACCTAGCACACAAAAATTCCCTCCCCCAGATAGAGTTAGAGGAAATTTGCCATATCACAAAATAATCTTAGCTTTCCCAAAAGAATCACCAAAGAGCTCTTTCAAACCAGTAATGAGGTTGTAATTTCCAAAACACTCAGTGCCATAGAGAAAACAACACTGCCAGCAGGTGGCTCTGGCAAAGCCATCTAATGAACTGAATGACTTGATCAGGACTCATGGCACTTGGGTGCCCATCCACATTGCCTGGCTTTTCAGGAGGATCACTGGTCAGGTCACTGAATTCCCTATTTTTCGGAAGATGTAAATGCCTGAGTTCTGGTGACTTTATTTTTTCAGAATTTCTCATTGAATCAACTATTTAACAAGAGGTTGATGTTAATAAGTGCCATAGACTGGGAAATACAGGTTCTGCAAAATATAGATGGGTTCTTACTTCTGAAAGAGGATAATATTATATCCAACAATGAGGCTGTAACATCATAGAGCCAGAGGACTCTTCAGAGAGTTGCTAACGTACCTCCAGCAGCTGTCCAGACAGAACCACAGAAGGTTGGAGCTGCAAGACACCTTATATTTTAGAGCAAGGAACCGAGGCCCCAAGAAGGAAATGCTTACCCGGTGCCCCCCACTGAGTTGAAGGCTGAGTGGACCCTGTCACAGGCTGCCCAGATGATTGGTATCCCTATGGCACCACACAGCAAGCAGAGACATAGCTGGTGCTCAAAGATCTTGAGAAGAAATAATTCTTCAATCATTACTCCTTTGCTTATTAACCATCGCTGACTGCAAATCTATTTGAAACACACCAGTGATGTTATTTTACACATAACAGAGTTAAATGGAAATATTACAATACTACCTATAGGAAAAACCACTCCAATATTCAAGTTTTAAAAACAAAGTTCAGAGAAAATTTTGCTAATAGCTGCAATGTGTAAACTAGCAGGCACTAATATACAAATTAGGCTATAATTTTTATTATTGAGAGTCCTAACAACATAGTCAATAGTTAGGAGCACGGGGTTCAAGTTAGACAGGTCTAGTTTCAAATACAGTTTCTATTACACACCAACTTGGAAATTTGTGCAAGTTACTTAACCTCTCTGAGCCTTGGTTTCCTCATCTGTAAAATGGGGATGTCATAATAAGAGGTAATCCATGTAAATTCTTAGCCCAGTATTGCAATATATGTACTCACTAAATGTTAATCACAACCACAAAATACGTGTTGTAGATTAAGTAAATGGTCACTGTTGGCAACTGACAGAGCCTTAAGAAGTTAGCTCCAATTATTGTGGCCATCAGTCCAGGTGGCATTTCCAATAGCATTGACACAGAAGTTCTTCTAGTGTAAGCCCCCTGCCTGCCTGATCTCTCCAGGTGTGCTGGGAACCTCCACTCAAAGTCATGTAGGAAGTTCTGACTGTTCACAAAGGTTAAGTTCATTACCAATACTATTTTCTAATTTTTTTCCTGAAATAAAAGGAAGGAATTATGGGGCTTCAATACTTTAGCATGTAGAAAACTTCAGGGACTAGGGGATAATTTTAGTTGTGAGGAAATACAAGTTGAAATCCTGTAAATTAGAACTATTTTAAGAAGTTGGCCAATTTAGCCTATGTAACCATGAGCTGGATCCTCCTGTTCATGTGGACATCAAGACTCTAAGGCTGGGCTGGCCAGGAGCAACCAGGATGGAAACTCAGATGAAGCCTGTGGGTGCAACTGGTTCTGAGGTTTAATTAAAAAAGAGATAGCCTCAGCCAGGGGAGGGGACCTGAGCATCACAGGTAGGAAGTGGGAGACAGGGGTGGTGTAAGGGTTATGTCAGAAACCTGCATCTGTCCAATTCTGCTCCTTACTGGCTGTGTGACCTTGGGCAGGTCACTTAACCTCACTAAGCCTCAGTTGTCTTAGTGATAAAGTGAGAAGTTCTTAGCCACATGCCTGGCCCAAAGCTAAAGCATAATAAATGTGGGTCATTATTGTAATTAAGAGATAACTCGGTGAAGACACTGAGGCCTGCGTACCAAAGCCCCAACAAACCAAGGAGCGATGGGCAGGATGGGCTCAGCACAGAAAGGCCAGGAGTCCTGGGTCAGCACCCACAGGAGCAGGTGAAGCCCCTTCTCACTTGCTCTCCATGCCCTTGCCGTCTGCCCTTGCTCCTGCCTTGCTTCAGGCTCTTGTCATCTCACACCAAGACCGCAGTGGTCTCCTGGCCTCCTCCAGCCATCCTCACTCCCGTCCATTCTCCCCAGAGCTGCCGGACAATGTTTCCTATAATGCAGACCTGACCAAGTTGCCAAACTGCTGAAAATTCTTCCACAAGGGTTTTAGCAGAATCCGGCCCAGACTGGTGGACATGGCCCATAAGCCTTCCGTGACCTGGCAAGTGCTTCCATCTCTCACCTCACCTGCACCCACACGCATGGGAGAGTTCTGGAAGCCAGAGAAAGGCAAGCTTTACTGTGTAGCTCCCCAGCTGATGAGACAGCTTCTCAGCGCAGAGAAACTACATTTACCTAAGCATTTACCTTATATCAGTTCTCACCTTTCACTGCACAGTAGAATCGCCTGGGGATTTTATAAAATATCCCAAGGCCCAGGCCACACTCCAGACCAATTCCATCAGTCTGTGGGGTGGGGCTCAGGGCTCAATATTTTTCAGCTCTTCTAGTCATTCCAGTATGCAGTCACAGCTATACACTCATTCTCATCTGTTAAAGGAGGGAGTCTTATCACTTGTTTGAAGTCCAAAATACATGAGCCTCAAATTCTAATATCAACCACCTGCTAGTCATTGCTAACTCTGGGAGGAATAGTGATCAATTTCAGGAAGAGGATGTCAGGGAAGTAAAGATGTGTGATCAATTCAGGAGGTGGGAGGGCAGCCCAGTCTCCCGCAAGGCCCATGTTTTACAAAAACCCGCCTGAATGTCAACGAGCATGAGTCCGCATGGCCTGGGCAGCTCTCAGTGAACAGCCTGGTCCCTTCCAACTTGGCTCAGCAGGACCAGCACGGGGAGGGAGGAAGTGACTCAGGGCTGCCCTCTCCCCGGCAACAGGATGGGGCTTAACCTTTTGTGACAGGACAGGTAAAAATAGCAGCAGCACTTTAGAAAGAACTCAGAATTTTTAGATTATGAACTATCTGATTATATAACTGAGGGTAAGTAATCCAAGAAAGGGCAGGTAATAATTATTTATTGTCCTTTATGTGTCCTGGGCTGGGCGCTCTATGTGGGTCTTCTCACTGAATCCTCACAAGGACCCTGTGAGGTTGGTACTGTCATCTCCTTTTTGTAAGGGAGGAGCCAGTGATTGAGAGATGACATGCTGGAATCGCCCAGCTGGCAGACAGCAGAGAGAGGATGAGTACTGGCACCAGCGTGTAGAAGGCACGCTGTGCACATTTGATAGCTGGCTCCTTGCATTGCCTGTCTGAGCGCTCACGCTCTGGCCTGCCTCCTGGCTCAGCCCCAACACTGACACTTACTTCTCCAGGAGCCAGTACACTGCTTGGCTGTATTCTAGCGTTCATGTAACAACGTGATGAGAGATAAGAGCAGGGCCTGATACAAGAGGCCCTGAGTTCCAGGCTGACGTGGATGGCTTGTCTCCTGTTGACAGCAAAAGTTCATTGAAAGGCGTCTAACAGAAGGAGGATGTGTACCACCTGGGTTTCAGGAAGATGCATCTGACAAAGCTACCTACGGTGGATCCACAAGGGAGCAAGCAGAACCTAGAAAACAGGTGGGAGGAGTCTGCAAGAGCTCAGACTATGCTCTCTAAATCCCTTTCACCACCAAAAGGAACCAGAGCTCCTTAGAAAAGTGGTCTTTTCCAGGTCGGGGGTAGGAAATTGAGACAGAAAGAAAAGAAACAAAGACTAGACTATTGAGGTCACGTCAAAAAGACACAGGCATCAACATGAAATGCTCCCACTGGCTAAAGGTGGGACAATTTGAATAAAACGGAATAATGGCTGAAATGGATTGAAACATATCAAGTATACACAAATCCATGAATTCATAACAATACAACCCCATACACAAAAAAAACAGAAACAAGAACAGAAAACGCAGCTCATAACTAGTGATGTAAGGAATGACATGATGGCTATAGTTAGTACTGCTGTGTGGTGTATTTGAAAGTTAAGAGAGTAGATCCTAAGCATTCTCATCACAAGGAAAAAACTGATTTTCTCTTTTTGTATCTATATGAGATGATGAATGTTAGCCAAACTAATTGTGGTAATCATTTCACAATGTATGTAAGTCAAATCATTATGCTCTACACCTTAAGCTTATACAATGCTATATGTCAATTATTTCTCAATAAAACTATAAAAAATAATAAAAGATAATCTAAAAAAAAGAGAAAATACACTTCATTGGTTAACTACTTTTGGAAGACTTTGCAGCTGGGGAAGCAACAGAGCCCAGTCCTGGCTTTCCATTTCTATTTCTTTCCTATCCCCCCACCCCCACCCCAGAGTGTAGCTAGAGAGGTAAGGAAGGCCAGAGAAGTAAGAGTTTTCTGGAAGGAAGCACTGCCCCCACATGTACCCACCTGTCTGCACCCCCTCGCTCTGCCTTCCCACTCATGACCTTGGATTACCTACCCGTGCTCTCATCAAAGCTAAGCCATCACTGCACACTAAACAGCATCCCCTTGGACAAACCCAAGAACATTATTCCAGAAATTCTTTTGCTACCTCATTATTTTTCCTTCTCTATGGGATCATTAACATCAGCACAAAACATGTTTGTTTCTTCTCTCGTTAAAAATACCTTTCTCTTGAGCCACGTCTTTACCAATAACCACCAAATTTCTTAGCACCCTTTTATAGAAAAACTCCTCAAAAGGCTTACCTATACTTGCTGTAGCTAGTGCTTCTCCTCCCACTCCTTAAACACATTCTGCTCCCATCCCCTTCCTGCTGCCCCCTTCTTCTTGTTGAAGGCCAGTTCCCAGTCCTCCTCTTGGCTGACCCGCCAGCAGCCAGCAGCGCAGGCTGCCGTGCTTCCCTCCCTCCTCTTTGCAGCGCCGCCTTCTCTTGGCGGCCAGGACTCCACACTCTCCTGCTTTGCTCATTGCTCCTTCTCAGCCTCCTTTGCTGCTTCCTCCTCTGTCTCCGACTTCTTGATGTCAGTGTGCACTGCGGCTGAGTGCTCCATCCTTTTCTCTGTCTAGGCATTTTCTTGTCTTTAAATCCACCCACACACTGATCCTCCTAATTATACATCTCTATCTAGTCCAATCTCTTGGACCCCTGACTGTGTCCTGCCCACTCACCTCTCAAATTCTACAAATGAGAAGCTGAACTCTTGAAGTCTCCTCTAAAACCCTTTCCACTGGCAACCTTCCCTATCTTAGGTGATGGCAATTCCATGCGTACAGTTGCTCAGGCTCAGTGGTTGGGACTCCTCTCTTTCTTTCACAATCTACATTCAGTCTTCCAAGAAATTCTATTGGCTCTCCCATAAAAAATGTATCCAGAATTTGACAATTTCTTAATACTTCCACTATTAACACTCTGCTTCTTACCATGATCAGCTCATGCCTAGGTCACTGCAGCCTTTTGTAGCAGAGACGGGCCATCTGTTCACAGAACCCATTTCCCCTTCTTCCTGGGCCCACGTCTGGAGTGCATTCCCTGGCCACCTTTACTTAGGTGTGGCCATTTGACTGAGTCCTAGCCAATGGAATGTGAGTGGGAATGAGGTGTGCCACCTCCAGGCCTGGCCGCAAAGACCTCCCACCAGCTCGATGCAGATTGGTCTGCCTGCTTCTGCCCTAATCTCAATATAGCAGCTGGGGTGACCCTTTTAAAACATCAGTCAGATTCTGTCACTCCTAGACACTTTCCAGTGCTCCTTGTTTCAGAGTCCCACCAATCGCCCACGAGGGCCCCTATGATGGGCTGCTCTGACTTATCCCCAGCCTCCCTCCCCTCACACTCTCCATCCCACCACTCGGTCCCACCACCCCAGCCACCCTGGCCTTGTTGTTCCCAAGCACAACGTACACTCTACCCGCTTAGGCTTTGCCTGAAATTCTCCCCAGACTAGCTTCCTCACCTCCATTGAGTATTCATTCAAGTATCCTCTTTTCAATGAGGCTAATCCCGATTAGCCTATCAAAAATTGCAGCCTCTCTGCTCCAGCGTGCCCGACCTCCTTTCTCACTCTATTTTTTGTTGTCTTGGCACAGAATTTAAAACCTTCTAATATAGTATTCAATTTACATATTGTTCATTATCTTTCTCCCCCACTGCTCTACCAGTCTTTCTAGAATGTAAACTTCACAGAGGCCAGAAGATCTGTGTCTCTTGTGTCCTATGATGTATCTCAACCATTTAGAAGAGTGTGTGGCACATAGTAGGTATTTGTGGACTAAATTAATTAATCCTATAAGTATTATTTTATGGGGTCACTTCTATTTTGTAGTGTTATATATATTATTTATATAATTGCTTTTATAGGAGAATTACTCAGCACCTACTGTGTGTTTGGCATTGAGGGGATACAATAAGGACATATTCATATTCACCCTCTCTAGCTCCTCACTTCCAGTTCACGCCCTGACCCACTCCCATCTGACTTCTTCCCCATCAGGAACAGAAATGGCTCTTATCAAGGTCACCAGCAACACTCAAGTTGCTAGATCTAATGAATATTTTCAAGTCATCCGCCTAATTAGACGTTTTAGCAACATTTGACTAAATACTCAATCTCATACTTAGAAGTACTAGACCCCTTTAATGGTGTTTGTCATTGAAGACCACTGTCTCATGGAGACACTCTGGCCCGTGACTGCTGAGCCACCACACTCCGCTGGTGTTTCTCCTACCTCCAGGCTGCTTCCTCTCAGCCTCCTTCACCAACCTGCATCCTCCTCCTCCCAGCCTTCCAGTTATGGTTTTCCTCAAGTGCTTTATGCTTTTCAGTTGATTTAATCTACACTTATGGCTCTAATTGACATTCTTGCTTATGATCTTCAACATATCTTCTCTGAACTTGGGACTCATATCCAACTGACTTGTCAACATGTCCACTTGGATGTCTCAAAGTCACTATGACCAAACTTGACCCCACATTGGGTCCTCTAGTGTAAATGGCCCACCAACCATCCAAAACTCAGACCAGAGACCTGGGAGGGAGTCTTGACACTCACCCCTCTCTCATGCTCCACTTCGTTCTCCTGCAACAGGCCACATTTTCTCATCTAACTCATTCCTCCCTCTCCTAACCCTCCGTCATCTATTTTCTGCAAAGATCTTTTTAAAACTCAAAAATACTATTATCTTTTCTCTATTTAAAGTTCTTATTTGTCTTCCCTTTGCTTTTTGCATAAAGATGAAAGTCTTCGACACGGCTTGCAGGACATGTAGACTTGGTTGCTGCCCACTTGCCTCCTTGCCTGTACTCCAGCCATTGCTTCTCTTACTCTCTACCCAGGACTCTCTTAGGTCCTCAAATGCTCCATGCTTCCCCCCTCAGGACCTTTGCACAAGCTGTTCCTTCCTAGCTGGTTCTCTCCCACTCATCCTTCATAGTGTAGCTTAAGTGTAACTTCCATGGGGAGGTTTCTCTGATCCCCCAGAGAAGTTCTAGGCCCATATCTTAGTCAGTTCAGGCTGCTGTAACAAATTACCACAGACCAGGTAGCTTAAACAGAAATTCATTTCTCATAATTCTGGAGGCTGGAAGTCCCAGGCCAAGGTGCTGGCAGACCTAGTGTCTGGTGAGAGCCCACTTCTTCGTTTGCAGATGGCCGTCTTCTCATTGTATCCTCAAATGGCTGAGAGGGAGAAATCACCTCTTTTGTATTTCTTTTTAGAATGGCACTAATCCCATTCACAAAGACTCCAGCCTTATGATCTAATTACTTCTCGAAAGCCCCATCTCCTAATGCCATCCCATTAGGGGTTAGGATTTTAACATATGACCTTGGAGGAAGTGGGGACAGAAACATTCAGTCCATAACAGCGCTCTGCTGTCTACTCTCCTTGAACGCTTATATTTCAGTGTGTTTATATTTATTGGTGCTCTTATTTAATGTCCTGATTGACCTCTTAATTCTAAGCCCCATCAGGACAGGCACCATACATGTTTTGCTAATCATTTAATTTCTATCACAAACATACTACATAACATAGTGGGGAGTCAATAAGTATTTGATGAATAAAGCAAAGAAAAAAGGAATAAGGAAGGCGGGTGGGAAGGAAGAAGCTAATAATCTCAACCAAGCTCATTTATAATGGTGGGTTTTGTGGGACACGGAAATATTTTGATATACCAAATTTTTCTTAACTGTGTCTACTTAACTATCGTCCTAAATCTGAGTTGCCACAATGCACAATTGACCAACGTCTGCAGAATGTGATCTGTGCACACAGCATGGATATAATTTAAGCCTAGATTTGTTTTAAAAAATTGAAACATTAAATTTAGAAGTTGGGTTTATCTGGGCAATGTTTAACAAACTTGATAACCAAATATTTACAAATACAGCTACCAGCTGCTGAACTTAGATAATTTAATATCTCCCAGTTTGGGCCAGGCAAAACACTCACGGACACAAGAAAAGATGAACAGTCAAGAAAAACAAAATTGCTTTCTAGAATCTGTGACCTTTCTTTCACCTAACAAAAGGCATAAAACAGTTACACATTTTAGCCTGGGATAATCTTGAGTAGCCCTCAAGGAATGTCAGGGCTTTCTGTTTTCACAGAGCTTCCATTTAAAAATGCAGTCTTCCCACAAAAAAGGAGTGGACTATAACCTCTGCGTGGGCAGAAGGCAGGGTGTAGAGATGTCTGAAGCAGGAGCATTCAGACACAAGATTGCTCAAGGCCTCACGAACAGAGAGAGATGTCCTTGTTTGTGACCCAGTCAGAGGCAAACGCAGAGCCACCAGCACCTCAAATTCTGCCTTTGAATCTTGACTCTCAGTAAGGCGCAACAGCGTCAGGTGGCCTCCGAATAAAATATCTCCAGTTTTAAATGATGCGTTTTACTTCAAGACATCCATATCTATATGTGGAAATGCTACACTTCAAATATTTTACTTTAACTGGGACTACTTGGTAGAAAACATCTGATAAAAGTTGTATTCATTTTCTATGGCTGCCATAGCAAATTACCACAAACTTAGTGATGTCAGCAACAAATTTATCATCTCACAGTCTGTAAGTCAGAAGGCCAGCGTGGGTCTCACTGGGCCGACACCGAGGTGCCAGCAGACTGCATTCCTTTCTGGAGCCTCTGGGGAAATCCATTTTCTACTCATTTGGCTTGTTGGCAGAATTCAGTCCCTTGTGGCTGTAAAGTTAGGGTCCCGTTGCCTTGCTGACGGTCAGCTGAGGGCCGTTCCCCGCTTTTAGAGGCCACTGCCTTCCTTGGCTTGTTGTCCCTTCCTCCACCTTCAAAACCTACAATGGTGGGTTAAGTCCATCTTACGCTTTAAATCTCTCCTCCTTCCCTCGCATCTCTGTGACTGCAGCTGGGAAATGTTCTTCATGTTTAAGGACGTGTGTGATTAGATTGGGCCCACCTGCCTAATCCAGGATACTCTCCCTATCTTGAGGTCCTTAACCTTATGCACAAAGTAAGGTATCACATTGTGGGGGGTTAGGAGGTAGACATCTGTGAGGGGCCATTATCTTGCCTATCTCAGAAGTGTTCACTTGATTAGGGTGGTAGGTGCTGAAGAGATTTTCTTTAGAACTTTGAGTGAGCTCCTCTGTAAACCAAAAAGATATCCTCGTAAATTCCCTAGCCTTATACTTTGGATATTTAAGAGCTTCAGTTTTTCCATTTCTTGGAGAACTCCCTTATATTTTAGTAAACTCTCAAAGACCATTATTATTCTCCCCGCTGAGCTGTACACAGAGCCTCAATATCATTATTTCCTTCCTTGCACTCTTTCTTCCTTCGCATCATCAACTGTAACGTGAGTCGCTTTTCCTTGTCGCATGCATTTATTTTCTTTCTGTTAGATCTTGTGGAGAGGGCCCAGATCATAAATTTTCCCTACTTTTTCAGAGTGAAAAAGAAGTCTCCAGGAGATGGAAAAGAGTTTTCTCATCCACCTTCTATTTTGTTTCCCTCGACTTTTGAATTTTTATACAGTCCTTGCATCCTGATTTTCCCATAAGGACATTTTTTTACAGAACTGTTTGTGCAATTTTCTTGCATCTTGACTTCATGT